GGAGGAAAGGACTTACTTTCTCATCTGCCTGCAGATGCTGGTTCAGATGTATTTTCAGTCAACCCAATAAGCATATAGTCCCAGTCCCTGAGTGCTGATGCACAGTTCCCATAATATCCTAAACCAAGAGGTCTCTTGATCAATACTGGATTACACTTAAGAGGCTTTGCCTGTCTGAGAGCTATATGTCAGATGCAAGCCTTAGCTAATGGGAAAAAGGATCAAACAGCCTAAAACTATTTTTTCCCCTCTCTGATTCTTCTTCAGAACTGGTGATGGCAATATGAGAAAAAGGATTTCTTCATCAATGTTAAATTTTATTGCAACATCTATATCCCCATATGATGAGATGGTCTGTGTTTCTGGACATGGCCACAAATACCATTTTTATGTCTTCTATATGCAGTGCTGGAAGCAAGCGGACAGTCCTTTACCACACTGGACAAACTTGCCTTCCCAAACAACAAAGAACACTTCCCAAAATGAAGGGTAAAAAAAGTCTGCTCAGTGAAGGGTGAGGTCTTGAAGAATCTGAAGTCACCCAAAACTCGGTGTATATATTGCAATAGTGTTCTTGCATGGCTGGGAGTTCACATTTTATTTATTCATTTAATAGAAGAGTTAATTTAATATTTTCTATAAAATCTCAATGGTATAGCAAGTTTTTTCTCTGCCATACAAAAGGCTACTTAGATCTGACTGCAATCAAGTTAGAATTTAGCAGGTTTGTACCGTTCAGTAGACCAAACTCTTAGTACCCATAGACACTGGAAAGAAGTGTCTTAATTTTAGTCTTAATGGGAAGTCCATGCATTCAAAGAACAAAATCAGCAGCTTGAGAAATTTAAGGTGATGAGAATTTTCACTGAAGTTCATACACTGTCTATGTTCAGGGTCATCGTCTCTCATCTGCCTGCTGGAGAAAATCACCTTCTATAAATGTGCTTTTATCAGACATGGGTTTACCATTTTCAATACAGAACAAACTTAATATCTGAGAAGCATCCAGTTTGTTTTGAGTACTGGATATTTCTGGAATCGAGACGTTAAATTACTACTTTTTCTTCCTTTTAATTTTTTAACCCTTAGTCATCAAACATATGCCAGTTCTTCCAAAACTTCTCGTGCTGAAAGCTAGATATGAAACATCCATATATCTTTTCCTATAAACCCACATCTACCAACTGATTACACTGCCATATTTTTAATGTTTAGCTACCTGGCATGCATAGAGGCCACTCTGTTAAGTATGCTTTTTACAGCTGACTTTAAGTGGAAGTTTATACAGAAAAATACCATACCACTTCTGTGACCACCAGCTGGCACCGGTGAATTTCTGGGCCGTAATCACTTCAGCTCCTTGCAGCAACATCAGTGAGCAACTAATAAGAGTCCCGTAACAAACAGACAAGGTGAGACAGTGACTACATACAGGAGATCAAATTACACCTCTGGGGAATAAGGTACCTTATCCAGATACCTGCTGAGAACTGAGTTATCTTTATTGCTTCTGGACATCTATTTTCCTGAGAATCTTAGGAACATAATTTTAAAACATAATTCTGTTAATTTTGGATTATAAGGATATAATCCTTATGTGCTCTCCCTCTCTCTTATGCAGCCACCCTAATAACTTGGGGTTGTAAGAGCATCCTCTACATCTTAACTGTCTGCCTGATTGCGTCATGCACTTGATCTCAGTCCTAAATTCATGCTGAGGTAAGTGTGCTTTTACAAAAGTTCTTCCTCAAGGGAGTCAGTGAGAAGCAGTGTGGTGTCATCATTACCTTGACATTCTTTCATCTCAGTGTCGAGATCTGCAAACTGAGATTATAGCTGAGACAAGCTGACAAGTTTTATTCCATGCATTTAATGGAAAGGTGATTCAGAGGTGATATTAATGACAGTCATCTGTGTCAAGACTTCCAATGTCAGATCCTCCCACAGAAAAAAAAAATAAGCCATCCAAAAAGGAATGAGGAAGGAAGCTCAGAAGACTGGCTTTGTCCACCTTTGTGAATCTGATGCAGCATCTGTGCTAGGACTGTCTTTGGAACAGTTACGGATAAGGCTACAACCACAGAAAAGAATTAATAAAATTGGTGGAGCCATGAAAAACAGTATCACCCAGTGACTGGAAGCCATGACATAGTTTAGTGTTTCTAAGCAGGAATCTCACTACTCTTACAGGCAGTGGGGTACCACAGGTCACTTAGACAATGGCAAGTATTGACTCCAGCAGTAACAGCTGTGTTAGCCAAAGGGAAAAAGCTAGCACTACTGAAAAGACTACCAGAAAATACCTACTAGGTGGCTCAAAGATGATAAATTTAGGGTCTGTATACCATAAAATAAATTCTGCAACAGTGAAAAGCAGAAAAACAGCACTGAAGTTTCCAAAATATTTTCCAGTGATCATGATGCTTCTCATATGTTAAGAGCTATAAATTATCAGTTGAAAGTATTAGTTTCATTAATGCAGAAGCATGAACACATGCTAATAACACAATTTTCTTTTTCAGCCAAAGGTTGATATGTTTGCTATTAAACTGCTTATTATATGACACTATTTAGCACTATATTTTTAGTATTCTTTCTGTTTAGGAAGGAAATTATTGTGATAAATGTAACATCTGACAGTGATAACTATTCAGTTTGTCATGTATCTTCTGGCTGCATGGCAAGTCAGCTTCAGTTTGATGTCAGGTGTACAATTTAGAAAAAAGTATTTATCTTTTAGTTTACTCTGGCCATCAAATACTACAATATTTCATGACAAAACTCTGTCACTATCTTGTGGCAACACTCTGCACTCAGCACCTGTTTGATGCTGAAACCAGGACAGAAAATGAATTATCAATAGTGCTCTGCTATATAGACACATGGACATTACCATTTAATATCACACTGTGAATCAAAATAGATACTATTATGAACGTACTTAGCCGGGAATAGGACCAGTCCTAACTCTGTAATATATTCAAAACTGGGAGAGGCTCAATGAATTTGTATACAATCAGAAGGCAAGTGGTTCTTGATGCTGTAGAAAATAATTCTTGTCCTTCAGTTCCTTCTCTTTAAATTGTCAATTGCCTGAACTTCTTATTCCTGTGATTCTATATAAAAATTAATTGGAATTTAAAAAAAAAAAAAATAGAGGATGATTCCATTGTATTTTTACATTTGCTGCACCAAACCCACAACAAATCAAAGTTAGCATCTTGAGTTGTTTTTTTAATTGATGAACAGCTAAAGTTCATCAGTGTTTGCTGTTTAGAGTCTTACGGGGTCTTACTGGAGAAACTGCATTTCATCTCAGAGTAATACCAAGACAAATGTGGATAGCTCCTTATGAGTTTTTTAAAATTGTAATGCATGATTTTGGCTGTCACATTTTACTCCACATATAACATAGGTCCAATGATATAATTCAGTGCTAAAGGCAATCAAATACATAATGAATTATATTCTGTGTGCCTTGTTCCTTCTAAATGTCTAAAAGAGACAGCCAGACTAGATTACATCAGACTTTGTTTTTCATTCTTTTTCATGTGATCTGTTTCAAGTTAAGATTCCATCAATGTTCCTTTAAATCAACTTTTCATGCTACCTTTTTAAAGTTAATTATTAATGTAGTGACAAGCAGGGAAGACTAAGAATTATAATTTGTTTTCTGCAGTCAAAAGGACATGAGAAACATCTTTGACAATGGCTGTCTATTTAGAAAAATACAAAGGTAATACAAAGATAGAACACTGAATGCAGCTTTAAAGAAAATTTACAACAAATCTGTGTTACATGAGTTGGAAATGCTGTGTATGCTTCTACAGGTGTTAAAAGAAGGAAGTTTAGAAATAACCCTTTGAGCCTCGTTTAACTGTTTAATATAAGTAGATGAAAATGAATGTGCTTGTATCTTGTTTTATTTTTAAGCAGCATATTATCCAGAGCTTTCGGAATAGGATTGTCTTTTCTCCTGGAAGGTATTGTTCTAATTTCCAGAGCGTCATAGAGAACAACAACAATATAGGAGTCTCTATCTGCTAAATCCAACTCCAGTCATCAGCACTGACAGGCAGAGATTTGGAGATATTTGACACTGCAAATCCTATTTCTCCATGATTCTTTATCTTTTACAACATTTTCAACAGTGTTATATCAGATTTTTGTAAAGATAATCAGTAGGCATGCTGTATAACTGAAATCAGAAACAAAAACTCATCCTCCCTGGTGGAGGGGTGGGAAGCATTGGGGTGGCTGCATCTGTTAAAATTCTCCAAAGACGTTTTTGTAGTGGGGAACTGCTGGTGCAGAGACGAAAGACAGTCCAGAGGTTAGGCAGAGAGACCACAGTTTACATTCCTATTCCACCAGAGTCTTCCTAGGTTTAAATGAACTTGCGGAATCTATTAATTTATTTGGTGTCACTGTTCCTCACCTGAACTTCCCTGCCTTGCAGAGGGTTTGGGAGTCACCACACATGAAAGACCACTCATGGTATGATGATCAAAGGGCCACTCCAACCTGATCTAGTGTTCCAACTAACAGCTGGTTTGTGACAAGCTCTCTCAGCTGGTCAGACCCAGTGCTAGGGGGCCAAATGTTGCACACTGGCTGGAGCACCCAGGAGCTTCTGGCACAATATTATTATCAATCTGAATTGAGCTGAATTTCATTAAAACAAGTAGTTCCAGAACTTGTTTCAAAGCATTTGTAATTTTACATCCTACACATTTTTAAAGGCATGATGTTATGAATCAAGTGGACAGATCATATTTAGGGAAAAAATGTTATCCCATATCAAGTCATTTCAAGTTTGTCTTCTTAAGATGCCTTCAGATATTTGTTAATACTCAGAAGGAAAAAGACTTGGTGCCTAATTGTGACAGCAGCAGGGGTTAACCAAGGTAAGTAACAGAAACTGTGTACAAACATTATGGGATAGCATTCAAAGCCAAGACATAGTGTCATTATACAGGAATAGCAATGAAACAACATACCTTTCCCACCAGATCAGCAATGGTAGGCACCGGTTTTCCTTTCTGATGACGCATGGTTGCAGGACTCTGTCCATTCCAGTCTTCAAGTTCCTCAATGGTTTTCAGGTAAAGCAGAGCTCGCAGTCCAGTGCAGTAGTCATCAATAACAGTGAAATCTTGATTCTGGATTGCACTGCACACCTACAAAAGTACATCAGCTATCAGGGACATCCTGGCAGAGAAGCATATGGAATTAGCAAGATTTTTGAACTTAATGATTATCAGAGGACCCTTCCTGCAACTTCACTGGGAAAGAACTACAATAACTCAGGATGTTAACTGGCTGCTTAATCGTGTTATGATACCACCACTGCAGTGCAGGAGAAAAAGGACTCGGTAACAGTAGTTATGCCTAGGTTTCCCAATGGAAGTCCTTAGACCAGATTGAAGGCTGTTCAGGAGTAAGCCAGCCAGCCCAGCCCCAAGTGTGCCTTCCGAGGCGCTGTTGCTGAGCATGCCAAGCACACTGGCAAATCATCAGTTATACTCAGACCGTTGCCTGCAGACAGACAGTATTCCCCAGCCTGCTCTGTTCAGGAAGGACAAGCATATCCAGTTAGGCACCAGTCATCCAAATCACACTACAGACTTGCTGAGGTTGCAAGGCATCTCTACAGATTGTCTTGTCCAATCTCACAGCTCAGAGAAGGGTCAACTAGAGGAGGATGCTGAAGACTGTGTCCAGCCAGGGTTTGAATAACTCCAAAGAAAGAGACTACACAGCCTTTCCAAGGAACCTGGCCCAGTGTTCAATCTCCCTTGCAGCTTTTTCTTATATTTAAATGGGATTTCTCATGTTCCAGTTTGTGCCAATTGCCTCTTGTTCTTTCACTGGATACTCCTGAGAATAATCTGGCTCCAACCAAAGTGTCTCAGCAAACAGCACCCATTAAGCTGATTTGTTATCATGGGGGAGCATTACCAGGTACAGCACAGTCCCTTTCTGCTAATCACCATTTGCCATTCAATGCTACTGGGAGACCAGGTTACTTTATTTTAGACACTTTAAAAAAAAAACAGACAGTGATATAGCTTTGTAAATACATAAAGCAATGATCTCTGGCCCACAGAGCTGAACATGTAAACACAGAACAGCAGAGAATAGTCTGGACCACTTTGTGGATATCAATGCAGATTTTAATCCACAGAGATAGCCAACCAAACTAACAAATGAATAAAAAAATCCCTAACTCTTCTTTGAACACCTTCTCATTAGCTAAACTCTAATCAACCAGCAGTGATGAGGTGAAGGGTTGGTTGAGTACCATTAATTGGCAGTCTCTGGAAATGCTCTGAAATTCCATATGTTTCAGTGTTTTCAGCCTCCAAAAAAGAATGCTTCTGATAATACCTGCACTTAGACACACACATAATGAAACTAACAGTGAAATAGCCACGTCTTTTAGAACATGAATGTGTGCACGTGCACACACACATCCATACTCCTTGAACATGAAAACACACCTTGGATCATAATTGACAGACACTTAAAAAGTACAGGAAAGATATAATTGTGTTTCACATTTCAGAAATGATAATGCAACTTTCAATTCTGAAGACAGGTACACATCACATTGTAAATTACCATACACTACAGCTGTACAAGGAAAAAATAAGGGCAACCTATAAAATAAGCACAAGAACATTTTTTATGCAGCACATTTACATTACACAAAATCTGTTTCTCTGGAGAAACAATGTGGGCATTAATTAGGTCTGTTACACCTTTCATAGACTTCAAGACTTTTGTTTTCCAGAGCAATTATAGAGAACATCATAATAATTTCCTGTACAGGTTATTTAACTGCAAAACTCAACTGATGCTTATTTGAACCTTTCTGCTCAGCAAGGGATTCTCTATTTTTTTACTGCATGGGTAACATTTTTATTAGTTATTCTCAAAAATACTAAAACTGTAAAAAAACAAAACCAAAACCCAACAAAACCAGTTAAAAGCCATGTCATGTCACGTGAAACAAGTTCAGGCACTGTTGTCAAAACCCTGAAATACTTTGACAGGATGTATACACACGAGATACACTGGAGGATACCTGTGATAACCTTATATATAAAGAGACTTTTACTGTTTTTCATATTGTGGTTCAGTGTTATGAACCGCAATAACATAAAAATGTGCAGAAGATGATATCTCACTAAAAGCTAACATTTGATCATTGTGAGTCTACGTGCAGTGCACTGTTTGCCTTTTGTAGAAAGCCTAGTAGGTTCCAGAACCACAAGCAAAATGCAATTTTTAAACAAAAATATAAATATCTGCACTAAAGAAAAATTTTATCTGAAATTGAATGAGTTAGAAACAGAATTATCAAGTGGTTTCAGATGATGCTCCTTTTCTGTACAAGCCTTATGACTGTGGTGCCCAATGGTGCAGATAATAACCAGACATGCCTTTCATTAATTTCACTGTGACAAGATCAAGTGTTTATGGGCTTTCCTAGAACAAGAGAGATGCAAACATTAACACATACAAACCCAACAGGGATAGCATTTTTTTGACAAATTCCAAAACATTCTGAGTTTTGAAATTTCTGATATGCTGCACATATCAGATGGTGAGATTTATTTTAGACTTCCATGTCTTCCAGTATCTTCTGTGAATCAATGTAGAATCGTTTGCTGCATTTTAAAAGGTGGTGAACAAAGCCAAGATAAAAGGTTACCCTGACCCATCAGCTATGACAATTTCTACACCACAGAGAGAGGTTTTTAACAGCATAAGTGGCTGCTTCTGAATTGCCAGTTTAAATGGCACTGTGCCCTCTTTACAGCACAAGAGAAGTGGCAGGGCAATAGACTGGCTAAGACTTAAACTCATACATCCAGAAAAATCACGGAAGAGCAAAACCAACCCATCTCCATGCATCATTAATGCCCCTGCTTTGCTCCTGCTGTTTGCACTGGGAACAGGCATTCTTCCCCTTCCTTGCAAAGCTAAACATTGAGCCCCTTATTCTGCTGATATCTTACTTTACAGGTGTGAAGATCAGGAAAAGCAGTCCAGCTATGGCCATATTTTAAATGGAACTACCCTTTGGTTGCTACCACCTCTTATTTAATGTCTTATTAAACCACCTCAATGGGAGATAAAGGCAAGCAGGGTGCTGCTGTAACAGTTGTTGTGGGTGCCTTGCACACGCATTAGAGCAGCACCATGAAACTGAACTGCAACCAGCATTCCTCAGCATCATGATTTTACCAAAACAAACATAGCAAAATGTGTTTCCCTCTAGGTCCTGAAGCAAAAGCCTGAACAAAAATGTAAGTTTGCAACTGAGAACATACACATGGTCAAACTGTGCCAGAGCAGCAGCCTGCATCCTGTCACAAACAGAAGCCACTTATGGACGAGCTTACGAAACACAGCGTGGGTCAGTTGCTCACGTGGTTTATCAACCCAGGTTCTGGCAAGCAGTACTGCTGGGACTGTGCATGGCAGAGACGGCACTTGTTTAATATCCCCTTGTCCTAGACCCAGGCTGTCACCTGAAACAGGTGGAAAGTAGTTTTTTTTTCTTTGGAAGATGAGCTGCAGGCCCTGTGAGCAACCTATGGGACAGAGTGAGGTCCAAATCACAATGGAGCTGTTAGCCCTGCTGACAACTGCTGTCCTGCTGTCTTGCTTGTGTTTGTCTCTAGCTTTGGACTAGATCTTGGGCTAGAAGAGAAAGACACTACATGTTTCCTGCTTAGAAAGGTAACGTATACTGTTCATAGTGCTCTTGCATACAGGGACATGATTTTGCACAAGTTGGGTTTTACTGCATTGCCTGTCTCTGCCTTGGCAGCGGAACTGCTACAATTTCATTTTTAACATCTGACCTCCTCCCCTTTCCCCCAGATACAGACTCCTTGTTCCACTCCATTGATTGCCCCTTATGTCCCAAGAGACAAGCGGGCCAACATGCTATGTATGATCAATTATATCGTGCTCTCAGTATTCTGACATTTAAAACCGTTCAGTATAAATTGCAACTGTAAGTTACAATTCTAATCTATACAGACATGCCTGAGATACTAAAAGACACAATGCCTGCTTTGCTGCTGGTAAATCAAACATACACCAAATATCTCCCTGGGGAATGGGGATGTGAAATGAATCATAGGCTAAGGCTCTAAGTAAAACTGTGCTGGAAATGCAGTGATGGGAGAGGCATGCAAAGGTCCCTGCCGATGTCCTGCATAAGAAATGACATGTCTGCTCTAATACTAAACACAAATACTAAGTCTAACTTTGTCAAAGAATCTAGAGCCATTACAAATTTTACTCAAGGAACTAGAGTAAATTGTCAGGAGATTATTATTACGGAAAAAAGAATTTTACAGTTTACATGGTTGTTATTAATTATTCACAAGAATCTGAAACTTTTAATTTACATATTTTGAAGAAAAAGTTCATTATTTGTGACAGGTACTACCACATCAATTACAAATCATTGTAAATGCTTTTGCTGTTAGCAGAATCATTACACTACAAAGAGATGCCAATTTCTGAAGCCTTTACTGTGGCAAATCCCCTGCACCATGTACGGAGAGCTCTGTTCTGTGTAAGATCTCTTAGGTTTTGTCCATAGTCTGTGTTTCTAGGAACAACAGGTATAATACACAGACGTTGGATTTTATTTCTGTTTTGCTCTCTACAAAAATGTCTGTGGTTCCTGTCCAAACTTTGGTATATCCTGGGAGACTGTGTTGAAGACCTGTGCCATCCGTGCAGAACCTGGACAAAAATGGCCGAGACATTTCCAGCCAAATCACCACTAAAGCAATTCCTATTCACTCTGATACTGGCATTTTCCCATTGGAGGATGTTGAGAAGTAGAAAATATATTCTGTAACATGAGAAAGAGGAAAAAACACACTTCTCTGTCAACTCTCTCATACCCCATGACCTTTAGTTTTTACATAAACATTATTATATGGCAAAATTCCAGATGGACAAGTGATAGTGGGGAAGATGGTGTCAAAAATATGCCCCAGTCCCCACTGCATGCTTTCCATTCCATCAATAGCAGGGATTTCAGCAGATATGAAAGAGGAGATGCAGATCTAGACATGTTTGTATCAGTTCTTCACTACACTACTTTCAACTAACAAGAAGTAGTGTGTCTGTAATCTCATATACTACTAGTTCACTGAAAAAGGTTGGAGCA